CATTTATGACTTTTCTACATTAGAGAATTTCTTTTTTTCTTCTTGAACATAATGTGAAATTATTCTAAAGAATTCTGAGTTTTTTTCTCAAAAAGTCATGACTTCTCAAGCCCAGAGAATTTCCTTGTTTTTTTTTTAAACATTTCTGAAATTTATACAACCATGAAAAAACTATTAAAAAACTTTGTACACTTGAGGTTAGGTTTGAAACCTTTTATAACCTGTTAAAACCAGATACATAAAAAAAGAGTCACTATAGTAAAGGAAATCCCTCTGCTGGGTGTTTTTAACCTTACTCTACCTTCATCTCTCATGTTCATGTCTATCTTCGGTCCAGCATTCCTCTCTCTGAAGGAAATTCCCTCTAGATGGCGCTGCAGACTTTCTTGAATGACATCATACAGAGGCTGCTCCTTCATACACATACAAACAAATGATTTTTGGCCTGTGAATGTATCCATTGTGTGCAGCAGCAGCATAAGAAGCTCTGAGTTAAGAACAGAGCTGTGTATTCAGGCAGGAGTGATGGACAAGATGAGATGTGTTGTGGAGCAGGGTCAAATCTCACATTAACTGTGTTTCCATCAAGGCTTTTTGATGCGCATTTAGAAGTGTCGCATTAAAAATGCAAAAAAAAGTCAGATGGAAACAGCAAAATTCTAAAAAAAAACTCCTCAATTCGCTAAAAAGTTTTTACGCTCACTTGAGGTGGTTTTTGGATGATTCACAAGGTAGTTAATGCYCAAAACGGGAGATGGAAACACGTTTGCTGAATAAATTCTGACGTAGCGCATATTTACCTCACGTGACATTCAGCTGTTTCCACTTTCCTGCCTCGTCCCGGATGTTATCACAAACGCACGAAAACATTGAGTTTATTTCCTTATGTCTCCTCGCAGTGTTAAATATAGCCTGTACTAGCTGAATAGATAGAATAATTACAACTTGCTCAATAGCAAGGCATTCACGAAAAAATCGCTCCYTTGTCCCGAGATGATTAGCCTCTGCTAGTTAGCAAGTTTCACTTCCTGTTTACTACCGCAAAGCTTGTCGCTGATGTCTGACGTAATCACGTGTTGCGTAACCTCGTCTGACGTAATCACACGTTGCGTAGCCTCGTCTGACGTAATCACACGTTGCGTAGCCTC